TTTTGTGTTCAAGAAAAGTTGGTATGTATTCAATTGAGTACAATTACTATATATGTAAATTGAATGATGCACGATCAAATGATAGGATATTATTTTGAATAATTTTGATCTCCTTATGAAAAATGAAGGTGCCGTTGTTGAATTCAATCGAGTATAACTTTTTCCAGAGACGAGAGTTCTTTGGCTAATTCCTTCTATAGGGTGGCCCATCAAAAACGTGATGCAATCAATAAAAAATCGCTCGGCTTGGACAAATCGATTTCAATTCGACATGTATTTCTGTAATTATCATATCCCAAAGTTGAAACCTTGAAGCGGAACGGGCATCGACTTTAATTCTCAAATGGAATACCCAGTATTTTATTATATAATCGTTTATTGATCATATGATTATAAATCTAACTATACCAAGTTTGATAGGGTTATCTCAAACGGCTTCGGAGATATAGCTGATAATTGATTTTATCAACTCACTGAATCGGAAGTGGGCTTTCATTTATTTATTTATCGTAGAAGAAATTATTTAATTTAAGGAGACAAAGTTGTCGATTAACTCGCATGGGTGAGGTGAAATAAATTGGCTTCAGCATGCATCCTTGTATTATCAAATTTCCAGAAAACTTGTGTGTCAAGAATATAGTTTTTATTGACATCATATTCTAACCAAATTCGATTCAACTAATAAATTTACACAAAAACGTACCTACCTCTACTTGAAATCTTGATTGACAATATTCAAAACTTGTGCCAGACACTGACAGGTTATCGCCACTATACATATACATATAGGTAGTGAATTAGCTTTTAAATTTTGGTGGAGGATATTATGATTTTGTATTTTGTGTTCCTTCTGTTGAATCGATCTTCTTGGAAAATGGTTATATGTATATTATTATCATACGTGAAATCTATCTCGGTATAAAAAACTGACATGATTATGATTGTGACTTTTGAATTTCAAAAATCTAAAATCTACTGTCAAAATATTCATGGAATATCAAATCATAAGGCTAATCTGCCCCTGCTCTTCTATAGAGAAGTTCGATCAATATCAACAAGTTTGATGTAATCAAACATTTTAATCAATACTTCATGACCGTTGAAAATGGTTATTTGTTTCACTAGGCAGAAAAGCACATCAAGATTTCTCGCCACGGCTGGCGTTTCATAGCCAAGGCGTAGCCGAGACTAGCAAACCAGCCAAGGCATTGAATCTCCCTTTCTGCCATGTGAAACATGATATTTTCTACGTTACTTGGCGTATGTCCTATATATCCATCAAATATCATTATTTCTAACTTTCACCAGCGAATCTCAACATTTATCTATACTCATGGTGTATGTCCGAAAGAATTTTTTATAAAAAGAAAACAAAATAAAGCTCTATCGGCTATTATTTGATTAAATCATGGAAGAAATTTCCAAATGAACATAAAGAAGTTGTTGAACTTAAGACAAACATAACAAACATAATATAAATATAAAAAAAAAGCATTTTATTTCAGAGTGAATGTATATCAACCTTATTCATTGCAACAACTTATGCCACCATGACACTTTGAATTACACAAAAGGCTCTTGTTTTTACAGCTACGTTTAGACGTGGAACACTTCTTTTTCTAGCCTTGCCCTCCGCTTTCTGAATTAGCAGAAGCTGCTTCTCTTACCGAAATTTCTTGAGCTGAAATCTCATCCATGGAAATTAACTTTTCTTTGCAAATTGCAAATTGATAACGGGTGAAAAGCTGCTTCGATGTGTCATTTTCATTTGCTATTGACTGCAGTAGCCATCGAGTACAAATTATATAATACCACTATCAATCAAACCTTGAGTAAGACTGGCGACAATCCCACACTAAAGCGAAGGGAAGCGAAGAAACTACACAAAAACCTGTTAGGACCACTGAACTATGGTTATAGTTCAGTGGTTAGGACCGTTAGGACCTGTCGTTTCCGACATCGACCAAAGCTTATATGTGTTTGTCGACATATACCGGTGAAGGACCAAATGTATATCAAAACTAATAATTGTTCTGTCTTTCACAAATACATTTGGTGTGTGTCGACATTAACCGGTGTTTGTAAACAAACACTAATTTCGGTCTTTCACGGTAACATATACACGGTAGTTATTCAACTCTCACTGGTAGGTTAGGTATAGGATCATTTTCTAAAAGAAAACACGCACATAATATCAGGGTTTTTCCAAGATATAAATGTGATTTCCCGAACGTGACTATTTCTCTTCATGAGATGATGTTACCAGCAATGACCACAATGACATTTTCTGACATTAGTACTCTATTGTATAAAAGTTCAAACAATAACATAATCAAAAAAATCAGCATATTATTGAAGAAAATAATAATTATGACAACAACACTATAAATAATTAAGAGGATGAATCCTATAAAGCTGAAAAATAAACATCAGGATGTCCCAAGATAACGTTTGTATATTCCGGAATTTGATTCCAGCATCTAGAAGGAGCAGTTCGTAACCATGCGAATCGCTTTCATTAGAGGCATTATAGATTCCTTCAAAGTTCCGTTTTTTTCGGTCATAGACCTGCTTTCATAGAATTTGGTACACATGGTAGTAATTCGATATGATGAATCATCCTGTCAAGTTCAAGAAGTGGTACTAAGTATACAGGGTGTATTCAAATAACACCAAAAAAATGTTAGGGGTGGATTTAAAAAAAATGTTTTTTCTGTGACGGGAAAAAAGTTTGGCATTTCATCTCTGTTGGCAGGTTATAAAATGTCACTTTTCATAAATTACTTTTTTCCCGTGGGAAAAAAGTGAGTACTTTTTTGCCGGATATATATCACATATGTATACACTGTTGATGGCTTTTGATGTGCTATAATTCCGAAAAATGAGTCAATAATACTGTCTCCGAGGAAGAACTGCAAGTCCTTTTATCTTCCATTCGACTTCGCGGTTACGTATATTACTAAACAACCTCAAAATTCGCAATTTTTTTGAATCAAATCACAGAATTAGACTGACAGAAGTGACATCAGATATTTGATTACTTCAAAAGAATGATAAAGATGCCTACAACGCAGGTGTCCCTACTGTTAAAATCTTGAAATTTTACGTCGATAATTTTCAGATTTGAAAATAATGTAATATCTTCTCAATATTGATTCGTTCTTTCTTCTGTCTGTGAAAAAAAAATAGTGTATTATACACGGGAAAAATATTAGATTTTAGCTCACGGTTTTTTGTCTCACAACACAACCTGGAGCTGAAATCTACTACTTTTTTCCCTTGTATAATAAATAACTATTTTCCTTCTTTATTTGTCCTGTATTGAGATAACGACATTGAAAACTTGGTGAATAGTGTTTGTCAATAAAACTTCACATTTTGTGAGGTTTACAACCCTGAAGATTGTTTAGGAAGGGTTGAAATAATCAACTTCTAAGTTTTGTCTTTCAACTTTCAACAAAAAAAGTTCTTTTGAGGAATGCAAATGCTTAAGTTTTCGAAAAAACTTCTCGCGATATCAAAGTTAGTAAATGAATGGGGCTTTCCAGACACGCTATTTAAGAAAAATGTTCATTAAAAAACAATTTTAAGAAAATAGTTATTTTTGTATCTAGAGCGCGAAATGCTACTTTGGTGTTCGAGATCTGATTTAGAATAGTCGAGATGACCAAAGTATTTTGCGCTCGAGTTTCAAACAACATTTTTTCTACAAACGTCAAAAAATATAGTTCGAAAGTAAAAATATGCTTATCTTGATAAAAAAAATAGTGTTGAACTAGCTCAAAAGGCCTCCCCCCATCCTCCCTAGGACGCACGATGTTCCAGGAACATAATAAGAATTTCATTCCGTCGCTCCAAGAGATAAAACAAAGTTATTGTTGAACATTCAGAAATGAATGATTTCGTGGATGTTTGCTCGATTGAGGACCATAAAGTTGAAATATAAATATCTCATATATTTAACAAAACAATTCGCGAAGTAGGTACTTCTCGCACTGTTTTACTTCGCGCATTGTTTTGTGCAAGGTATCATGGTAACGTAGGAAACTGAAAAAAAGTGTCACTTCGCAATTTGTTATCAATGCGCGAACCTTGTAATTTTTTGACGTTTGTAGAAAAAATACCTTAGGGATTGAATATTTCAACCCATTTTGAGTCAGGGTTGAAAAATATTCAAAATTAACAGTTTGATTGTCAAATGATATTCACCAAGTTTCGTGTCTTTAGCTCAATATACAGGCAAAATTAAAAAGGAGAACCTTTTTCCTTGCTGATCTTTGGAGGGTTTATCCATATACGTATTAATAAACAATACGGATCATAACGGGTGCCAGGATGAAGCCAAAAATATGAAACAAATGAATATCCATAAGGATTTGGTGGCATGATACGCATGCGCCATGCGCTATTATAGTAGTCATCAAAGACATGCGTTTCGGTGGACGTGGACGTTTACTAGCCTTTCAATCAAAGCAGTATGTGTCTGATCGTTTCAAAACTTTTCCTTATGGATAGTCATTTGTCTTCAAAAATCGGCTTCATGTTTCGCTATGGAAACAGATAGAGATTATCCGTATTGATTATTAATACGTATATGGGTTTATCACAAAATCTCATACTAAATTCCCACCTTCATTTTCATCACAGGGCACATTTCAGCACACGCTGATATATAAAGAACTATTATTTGTTAGCCATTTTCTATAATTCATTGCCACAGTATTCTATGGGTGTTTCTGACTGCAGTTGATTATTATAAATGTTCATGTTGAAAAGTAGAGAATGTTTACATACCCCTTTTCAAGGTATTCATATTATGTCCACCATAATTGAATAAGTACTGAAGAGATCAGAATACCTAATCAATCTCCACTAAGTACGATATCGTATTTATTTTCAGATTACGAAACAAAAAAGGGTTGACAATGAAATGTGTCTATTGGATAACGAATGTTGCACAAAAAAGGGACTTACCAATATGTCGATCATTATTTTTACAGGAACTAAAGTACAAAATGATGTCGAAAAAGCAATGGTTTGTACTGCTTTGTTTATTTATTCTGTATTTATTACTGGGGGCGTCCATTTTCTTTTACATAGAATCTCAAGAGGAAATTAGGAGGAGTATATCAGAAGCCAAAGAAAGACTAATTATTGAAGGTAAGTTATGAAATTTCTACTCAGATCAGATGCCACACTGAGATATATATACAGTGTGTCCTGAATTGAATTCGAACACCAACATTGTTATATATCGCAATATATGAAAGCAAGGTGAAAATGTATTCATGATATTCTCCTTATTGTGGCATCGTTTACATATTGAAACGCAAGTGGCAGCAAGACAAACGCAAACGAAAATATATTCGAGGTGATTCAGTGGCACCCCCCATAAAATGAACGGCTTGAAGACAGACCTAAATTATGAATAAAGTTGAAATAACCCCTGAAAATATTTTTTCACCGGAATATTAGGCAGTTTAAGTGTCAATAGACGATTCAGTATGTATAATAATACACTTTATTGACGACAATGTGATGTAAAAATTTTAAGACCAATGAATTACTAGAAAAAAAAATTACAGACAAAAGTGTCCATCCCCAGCCTACATTTCTTTCAAAACAACAACCATCAAGGCGAAACCACACCCTCCTTCTTAAATCTAATGGTATTTCTTCAAACATCTTGACATCGAGCTTGACATGCTCTGTTTGCAAAAATGCAATTCAGTTGTGGTAAAATATCGAAACAGTACTAGGCAGTTACCATACATTCCAGTACATATTATTATGTTAACACTATAGAATCTTGCTGAAGATACAGTAAACAGGGACAGAGTGACAAATAAATTCAATATCACATCCTTGAATCTTTGAATACTATGACTTACCAAAGCAGAAAGACCTCGAGAAAGACCCTCTCTGGGACAAGGAATAGAAATTGGTATTGGTATTAAAAATTTAAACATTTCAATAATGATATTTACTTGGAACGATTGATGGACAATGTAACAAAACAAATAAGATGAATATTTTCCACCTGACTCCTTTTATTGAATCAATGAATTTTCTGCAATTGTCTGTATCAATATTCGTGATGGTCAATGATATTCTGACGATTTCTGACAAATAACCCAATTAGAGCAATTAGCATTATTTGTGTGGTATAACTTTCAGTACATCGTTTAACGCATTAATGTTAATTCCTCTATTAATGAACAATTATACCAATTTTTGTCGCTCATCCATTGGATTACGGTACTTAGGTGAGTAGGTACCTACGAAAATAGTTTGTCTTTTATTACTTGTTATTATCGTTAAAATGGCAATTGATAACTCAAATATGCCATTATTCTCTATCTTCTTGCAATTTGAATAATTATTTACAATATGTGTTGACGATATGCAACTATACTTATCATTATTTAAAATAACAAAATATATCATCGATTATGTTACTGTCGTAAATATTACCTTATTCGTCGGAGGTCGCAAAAAGGAATACTCATATACCAAATTATGATAAATTACCTATGCCTATACAGACGAAGGTTCGATTTTTTTAATAAATAATGAATCTTCAAAATATTTGGGCGTCATCTCTCAGGGATAAGTAGTTATACAGGGTGTCTCATAAGTGATGGATCAAAAGAAAAGGGGTGGGTATCATACCATAGGCAATACTCTCTCATTCAAAAGTTATTCGATCCATCGCAAAAGTTGCTTCACCAAAACTCGGAATCTTGTTCCCAGCAAAAATCTATTTTACACTTTCTCATGATCTAAAAAGCACAAGTACAGACTGTTTTCGAATACTGTTGTCATGTACGGTGTTCAACACCCGAACATACGCTGATTACATTCAGAGAAGAGTCATTAGCCTGGTGTATGATGCCACACCCACTAGCTCCTTGTCCTCATTATAGAAAACCGTAGAAATGTGGCGAAATGTTACTTTTACTATAGATAATTCCACGGAAAATGTTCCTCAGAAATCTTTTCTATAATTCTATCACTAGCAAAACCAGTGAGACGAACTGAACAGGCCCAGTCGGCACATTCTTTCATCGTTAACCTTGTAATATTTCGAACAACACTCCACAAAAACTCGTTCGTCTATAGAACGGCGAAGCTTCGGATTTCTTTGCCAATGGAAGTATTCTGAGCTGATAACTTCCAAAAGTTGAAATAAAATCTATTTCTCCCTATTCGCACGATGTTCCACAAACATTATAGGAATATCGTTTCGTGCGCTCCAAGAGATAAAAAAAATCAAAATAGCCCTATATATATGGTTATCCAATTAATGTTGATTCAAAACTTATTAAATTTTCTTAATTTTTTCGATCTTACGATTTTTTTCTATAGAGGTATTTCGAAGAGTTAACCCATGCATGGTGATGCCTCGCTCACAAATTCACTCGCTTCTCTGGAACACCGTAGAAAAGTTGGCGATCTGGCTCTATTTCATAGATATTTTCTTGGACGATTCTCTTCTGAAATATCAACAATTGTTTCTTTCTTGGCAGTCCCCGCGAGATTAACCCGTCGAGTTGAGGCTTCGCACCCCGTCGTGGTCACTTTGGAGACCTGCAAATCATCTCTTTCCAAAGACTCGTTCATCCAACGAACAGCGAGGCTCTGGAACACATTGGCGAAGGAGGTGTTCCCCGAGGCATATTACCTCCAGAAATTCAAGAAGAACACCAATTTCAACCTTATTTCCCTTGGTTCTCACAATGTTCTCAGGACATTACAGGATATTCCTTTTCGTGGGAACCAGAACAAAAAAAAAATATCTACTGCATGAAAAAGGAAACTAATTTCAACCTAATTTGTCCTTAATAAACCTTTTTCCTAGGAAGTATATTATTGAAAAGTTACTAGACTGAAAAAAAAAATTAAAAAATTACGCGTCGCAGGGATTGAACCCCATCAGTCACCACCATGGAAGTCAGATACACTCGACCACGATGTTTCAAAGATTCGCTGGTCTAGCTAGAGACGCTTGTATCCTCGTAGTGGTAGCTCTACTTATCCACGCCACTGTCCCATAGGTGATAATAGGTCTCACTATTCCTGATGTGTACACCCACTGTAGTATCTTCGGATTGCATACCAAGTTTCACTGTGCGATTTTTCTCAATTATCGTATAATTGTAACTGAAAGGGTGGCAAAAAAAATGTTCCGAATTTGGAGAATTTCTGACACTTCGTACCTACTTCCAATTATATTTTGATAAACTCTATCACTTTGGTTCACATCAACTCCTTATAGTTCGTCAATTTCCATAATACAATCGCCCTAGGCCATCGCCTATAGTTCGCCTATGCCTATATGAACGGGCCGGCCCTGCTCAAATCAAATACCTAGCGCTCCTTTTAATCATACTCTAGCTATATCAAGTCCTCAGAAATGATGGCATAAATAATCTTAATTTTCAACAACAGTAACTGATATATCGAATTACAAGGCCAGGTTAGTTAGGTTGAGTTAGGTTGTCCATGATACAGTAGCTGACGCGATCTACAGTGTGAGTCAGAATGAGACCGACAAACTCCGTACACGGATACCTGGTCTTATTTTGAGGTGAAAAGTTCCTATCAACGTATCTTCTAAAATGCATCCTCACTGAGATACAGGGTGTCGAAAGTACAAAAAAAGATTTCTCTAAATTTCAATGTAACTATATGGATTACTTAAAGTAGCACGATTTGGAAAATTTGTAGGGACATTGGGGGAAACATGGAGAATCCCACTATGGTATATTGTTTAACAAGCACGCAATGATAGTGATTTTCCACGAGAATGAAGTTTGCAGCATGAGCCGTTAGCTGATGTCATTGCTTCAAATTTGACAATCCATGAGCAATGAGATTTTTTTGAGATAATAACACAATGGAGTCATTGTGATATCAGATACGGAAATAAAATTGATGACATACATAGTACCTCATTGATGTATCGAAAACGGAAAAAAAGAGCAATTTTGTGCTAAAGCCGTAGAAAATAGTATATTTGTTTAACGAGCATGAAATGATAGTGATTTCCCACGAGAATAAGCTATCATTGCTTGAAATTTGACAATCCATGAGCGATGAGATTTTTTCGAAATTCTAACACATTGGATATCTGATACGGAAATAACATTGATGACACAAGAGCAATTTTGTGTTATAGAGGTGGAAAATATAGTATATTGTGAAATAAGTGGAAAAAGTTGAACTTTTCTCACGAGTGTGAAAGTTTGTCGCACGAGTCTGAAGGGCGAGTGATGCAAACACACGAGTGAGAAAAGTGCTCTTCCCCACATGTTGCACACTATACTTTTTCTACAACTGCACCTATTCAAAGAATCCGAGTAATGTAGCTTATTGGTATTCATTTTATAATGTGGCACTATGCCACATTGAATATTGTGACCAAAGAGTAGACGCCTTTCCTAGTTCCTCAAAGTATTTCAAAAAAGTACATTCTCCGAAAAAGATTTTATTTCTGTATTTTTTAAGATTCCATAATTTTTTCGTTCATGCCAATTCATACTTTTTTCTTGAAACTTCCGGAAACAAATCCAACTTTTGCAGCTTCTTCCATTATCTCTGTCTCTGGCGGTGTATTTATCAAAATCGTCACATCTCGGTATATACATCATATTATTTATTATGAATTGTTGGAATAATATTTGATGGAAAATGCGATTTCTATCAAAATCACTAATGAGAACTACCCTGAAGAATTCAAAAATCTTCTTCTGACAGTTGTGACAACTATTCAAATAAGCTGAACAGCAGCCAAGTTTTGGTCGATTTATTTTTGTTGATTCTCCATGGAAATGTATATGCAGTTGGCAAAGTGCCGTGAGAAAAAATATTTCTAACAGTATAAGCAATACATGGTTTTGAAACTAAGTTAGCTATGAGAAATGCGCTACTATTCATAGCAGTAGTAAAAAATAGTTATTTGTTTAACTAGGCAGCAAAGTAGTAGATTGACTGCGAGGCTGAATTCATAGCCGAGCGTAGCGAGGCTAAGAATCCAGTTAAGGCAGTCAATCTACTTTGCTGCCGAGTTGAACATAAAATGTTTTCTCCGATTGTTCATAATGATATATATCTCTTTATTCTTCTTGTAATGTTCAATTAAAATGAAATTTGATACG